GGATTCATGTTCATGCAGGAGGGGGTAGGTTCCTGAGCTGGCTGGAGCCCTGCTGCTCCAAACAAGGTTTGCGAGGCCTGGGCATCACAGCCTTACCACCCTGGAGGGCTAACTCCCTCCCCCAAGCCCCTGGGTACACACACACACACACACACACACACACACACACACACACACACGCTGATAGGACCTCCCATGGATGGACTCTCGGGGGAAGGCCAGTTGTGTCCCTAAAGGTAGAGAGGCAAAGCCCATGTCCTCACCTCTGGCCACTACTTCTTGCTGAGTCTCTGTGGTGGCAGATAGGACAGGAACAGGTAACTGACAGGAAAATGTGGCTCTCTACTCTGGCTGTTTACTTCACATACATCCTGCTCCTACTGGGACCATCCCTGCCTGCCCACTTAGAAAGGTCTTAGTGACACTTAGAAAGGTCTCAGGTTTTGCCTGCTCCAGGCCCAGAGCAACCCCTAGCTCCTGCTAACAGTTGGCTTCCCTGACTGACACAGAGGAACCAGCCACTCTGCCTCCACAAATGAGACCTTCGCCTGCATGTCCTGAAGAAGTAAGGCGAGACAAAGTCTAGACAGGGCTTGAGTCCACACTGAAAGTTGGTGTTGTTTGTTAGTTGGTTTCTTTGAATAGCCCTGGCTGTCCTGGAACTCACTCTATAGAGCCGGCTGGTCTTGAACTCAGATCTGCCTGCCTGTGCCTCCCCCAGTGCATGGGCATTTAGCTTTTAGTTTGTTTTTTTTTTTGGAGACAGTCTTTTTTTTTTTTTTTTTTTTTTGGTTTTTCGAGACAGGGTTTCTCTGTATAGCCCTGGCTGTCCTGGAACTCACTCTGTAGACCAGGCTGGCCTCAAACTCAGAAATCCGCCTGCCTCTGCCTCCCAAGTGCTGGGATTAAAGGCGTGCGCCACCAACGCCCGGCTTTTGGAGACAGTCTTAAGTAGCCCAGGTTTGCCTAAAGGTTGTTATGTATTGGAAGCTGAACTCAACTTGCTCCTTACCTGCCCAGTGCTGGGATTGTACACAGAGCTGGAGCTTGTTCCTTCAGACGGGTTCTCACTGTGTAGTCCTGGGCTGGCCTGTAGACCAGCTGGGCAGGCCCGCAAGCTTCTCCACCTCTCCAATGTTGTGTTCAAAGGCATGAGCCACACTGTACTCTTGTTTTAGAGGGATCAAGAATGGAACTGAGAACTTTACCTTTGCTAGACCAGGGTTCTATCACTGAGCAACACCCCAAGGCCAGAGCCCACCCACCCAAAATAAAAAAAGCTCTGGCAGGGGACCCAAGCATCTGCCTGTCCTGAGTTCTGGGTAGAGCCCTGAGGCTTCAAAGTCAGAGTCTGTTAAAGAGCTACTCTAAAGGGAAAACACAGCAAGCCCGAGGCTGGCATGCATCTGGGCTTTTCCTTTGGAGGAACAGCTTAGAGAATTTGATGAACACTCTGTCCCTCCTCCCCCAGCAAGACCAAATACACACACACACACACACACACACACACACACACACACACCTCAGAGTTGTTTATCTGCGGTTTTCCTAGAAGATTAAATTATGGGAATCAGCAGTGAGGACTGAAGTGTGAAACTGGAGCTGTGCGCTGCTGCTTGGGTTTTCCTAGTGAACCCCACGCACAGGGCACATACCCTGCTAGCCTTTCCTCCAGGGCATGCCTGGGAGCCTACACTCTGGAAGCTAAGGCCAGCATCCCAGATCATGTAAAGACCTCCACAGTTGAACTGGAGGCAGGCCAATCTTCCTGTGGGGGTGGGGTGTGCTAGAGAAGGCATTTACAAGAGAAAGGCCTCAGAGGTGAGGAGTCACTAGATTTCCCCCCCACACACACACACACACTTCCGTTACTCTGTTGGCATCCCAGGTCTTTACACCTGGGATAGTTCCCAGTCTTCTTTAGACAACGCCCCACCCCCCAACCCCACCGCCCTTGTTGCTCGGCATCCTCTTCCCCTTCTCGACATTGCCCTGCTCAATCCTGAGTGTTTTGTCTGTCACAAGGGGGCCTCAACTTCTTTCCAAGGCCATGTTCCTTTCTTATTCTAAACCCAGTTAGGCTCAATTAAAATGGTCAGGGTCCCATTAAAAAACCTTTAACAAATTTAGTTATATTCTGATTCTATCAGTAAAATCTATTATTTTTCTATTTTTATCAGTAAAATCTATTTTTGTTTGTTTGTTTGTTTAGACAGGTACTCCAGTCTAGCCTTGAACTTACTGTGTAGCTAAGGGTGACTTTGAACTTCTGATCCAGCCTCCAAGGGATCCAGCCTGATCCCTTCTGGGATTACAGGCATATTTTTATTTTAAAACTTAAAATACAGGGGCTGGAGAGATGGCTCAGTGGTTAAGAGCACTGACTACTCTTCCAGAGGTCCTGAGTTCAATTCCTAGCAACCACATGGTGGCTCACAACCATCTAAAATGGGATCCAGTGCCTTCTTCTGGTGTGTCTGAAGAGAGGACAGTGTACTTATATAAATAAAATAAATCTTTAAAAAAATAAATAAAATTAAAATACAATTACATCACCCCCTTTCTTTTCTCCTTCCCTATACTGCCCACCTCTTTTTCTTTGTGTGTGTGTGTGCGTGCGTGTACATGGGGATCCGTGGAGCTGGAGTTCTAGGTGGGTGTGAGCCTTCCCCCTGGGTGCTGGCAGCTGCCATCTCTAGTCCTTCCCCCAGTACTCATAACTGAGGGAGGAGGAGGATGTGGGCTGAGGGTGCACTCAGTGGAAGAGTGTGTGCTTTACATATGTAAGCTGAGTCGGCTCCAGGCAGACAGACACAAACGCATGCCCCACCCCACCCCCACACGCCCGCACACACTGTGTGGAGGACAGCAATAGGAATATAAAAGACACACCTTGGAATCCTTTGTCCTAAAAAGACTGTGCCTACTGGTGTGTTTGGCCCACACCAGATACTGCTACCTTCTAGCCCAGCTCCCCCAGGAATCTAGTCAGCAGTCAGCAAGCCAATGCAGTGCTCCTGTGCTCCACACACTCTCCGCTGCCAGCCCCACCCTCAGCCAGGCCCTCCCACCCCAATTCAGGCCCTGCTAGCTACCTGGCTGGCCAGCCCTGCCCCCTCCCTATGCCTGCCTGTCTCTAGCATCAACCCTCAGGATCTGTCTGGTGTTGTAATCTGCCTCTGCCCCCTTAGGGCCATTTTTTTTTTTTTTTTGCCTCAAATTTTGTCCTTTTGAGGCCCACTCTGGCTTAGTCACTTCCTCTCTGCAGCCCCCACCAGTCTTTCCAGAATCAGAAGGACTCTTTCCTTCTCTGCTCTACTGGGAAGCTGAGATTTGGTATTTGTTAAGCAAATCATTCAATGCTTCCCAAAGCTCCTCCTTGCTCTGAGTAGGATCCGTCTTAGTCAAGTTGACTTACACAGTCGGGTGCACAGACCTGAGGCTATAGAACACAGAGGGTCTGCTGAGGACCCTGGGGGCAGCCCAGGAGGAGGTACAGCAGCGGGCAGGAGCCCATTTGAGAAGCTTAGATAATCTCATGATAGCCCTCCTGGAGACCCATACTTGTTGGCTTTCTTTCGGACCTGTCATGTGTAGGTCTCCTTACTGCCACCTAGTAGATGTACCTGTGGATTCAGGCTCCCAAGAGGCTATGGCTCTTCTGCTGGTCTTTTTTGTTTTGTTTTACTTTTTTTTTTTTTTTTTTGGTTTGGTTTTTCGAGACAGGGTTTCTCTGTGTAGCCCTGGCTGTCCTGGAACTCACTCTGTAGACCAGGCTGGCCTCGAACTCAGAAATCCTCCTGCCTCTGCCTCCCAAGTGCTGGGATTAAAGGCATTCGCCACCACTGTCCGGCTCTTCTGCTGGTCTTAAGCAAGGCAAATGCTGCTGCCGGACACCAGGGTGGCATTTCTCCACAGGATACATTTGGTCTCAAAAAGTTAGTCCACAATGCCAAGTTACGTACCTCCAGAAGTGGTTCTGAGGGAGGTTCCTTGGTCCATGCTCAGCCCTCCTGGCTCTCCTGGGGCTTTGGTCCTCCATCCCTCCTCTCCCTGGGATGGTAGCTCTGCCACAGGCCCCAGGTGTGCAGCCACTCTGTTTATCCTAGATATAAAAGGAACCAGGGGACAGGGCTAAAGGACCTCTGTGTAGTACAGTGTGCCTGCAGACTGTGGTCCTCAGTGCCAAGAGCAGGCTGCCTGGTGTCAGTAACTCTGCCCGTTAGGCACTACATGGTTCACTTACTCTGTATAGCAGGCAGATGTCCTCTAAATGAATACCTCTGATAGAAAGTCCAAGGGCGTCATGGGCTAATTCTTTTTCTTGTCCAGTAGAATTGGCAGTTGTCCTAATTTTCTTCTTTTTCTTGTTGTCTCTTTGTGTGTTCATTGTTGTTGAATATTTTCTTTCATCTTTTGAGATGCAGTCTTTCTATGTAGCAGCCTTGGCTGGCCTTGAACTTACAGTCCCTCACACATGGCCTTTGTCCTGGTTTTTATGTCTGAAGTGTCCAGTGGCAACAGTGAAGGTGGACTGGGTGGAGAAAGCACGCAGATACTCAGTGCATACTGCTTCTACTGGCCTCCCCTCCCCTCACCAACTTCCTGTCTGTCGTCAGGGATGACTGTCAAATGGTGCTATGTCTAGGTGTGTGCAGGTGCTTATCCACTGTGGGGCACATTTATGAGAGGGGGACCTAGAGGTGACACAAGGGATGGTATCCCCTCAGTCATTAGCTACAGGTGTAGGTGACTTAGCAAACAGGCTGTGCAGGGGTGGGGAGTGTACAAGCTCTCTGGGCTTCTGCTTCTGGAGTCCCAGGATAAATGTAGGTCCTGGGTACAGGGTACTGGAACAGTCACAGCTCTGAGACAGTGAGGCCCTCTTGAAGATGCTTTCCTGGAAGCTGCTGCTGCTGCTGCTGCTGTGCTGAGAAATTGGAATGTCCACGGGCTCAGAGTTAGGAAAGCATCCTTGTGCTCTCTCGCTCTCTCTCCAGATCTGCTATCTCTGCCACAGCCTCCTGACACTGGCGGGGGTCGTGGTCAGTAGCCAGGACATTACTCCTGATCAATGGGTGAGTCTCCCAACCTGCTGGAGCAGGAAAGGGTTGGATGGTCAGTAGTACCTACTGGATCAAGCAGTGTGGAGCCACACTAGCCAGGATAGAGCCAGCCTTCCCTTAGGAACTGCGGAGTGAGAGGCCAATAAAGAAGTGGCGAGGGTTGCCAGGGCTGCCTCCTCCCACTGAGTCCCAAGAGCCATTCCCAAGGGATGGTGGCCTAGCCCCTAGAAGCTGCCTGGGCCCCCTCCAGCAGACATTCAGAGATGTCCCTCCCTTTCTGACTTAGCTCTCCTTCTTGCCCTGGCCTCTAGAATATGCCTGGCTTATGTCATGCCTCCTCCTTCTCCTCCTCAGGGCGAGCTGCAGCTGTTGTGCATGCAGTTGGACCGCCACATCAGCACCCATATCCGGGAGAGCCCCCAGGCCATGCACCGGACCAAACTCAAGGACCTAGCTACCCAGACTTACATCCGCTGGCAGGACTTGCTGGCCCACTGTCAGCCCCAGGTGGTGTCCCATAATCCCCTAGACCTGGGAGGAAAGGGAAGTGGTCAGTCAGCGGGGCTTGGCAGATCCAGCAGTACATCCACCCCCACTGCAGCTGCTGGACTCCAAAGGGAAAGGGTGGAGTGGACGAGCGTGATGCAGGGTGGGGATGTCTCAGGGGACCTTCATTCTTAGTCCAGGACCCAGGGAGGGGATGCAGAAGGGAACACAGGGAGGCCTGTTTATGAACGAATGCAGAGAATCACAGCCCTGAAGAACTGAGCAGTGCTGGTTTGTCATGAATGGCCAGGAAGGAGCACTCGAGGCCACAGCTGTCCACCCCGTCCACTTGTCCTGTAGACCTCAGCTGGCTCCTTGCTGTGTTAAGAGCATTTCCCAGGCTGCTCTGTTTTTTGTTTTTGTTTTGTTGGTTGGTTTTTTGAGGGAGTGCAGGGAGAGTACTTGGACCCGGGGCCTTGCGCATGCTCCGTATGTGCTCCACCCCTCCTCCGCGTGCGAGCATCCACACGCATTTATATAGCTAGGAGTAATCCCTGTTCCTAGAATTGCCTCAGGCCATCTAGGTAGTGACATTTTACAGCTAAAGTTTACAGAATGAAGATCTTTTTTCTACAGGAACCTGAGGAACCCCCATGAAGCAGGGATAGGTAGAAACCCATTTTACAGATGAGCAAAGTATCTAGAGGTTCCTGAGGGTCGATAGCTTGCCCTGTCATGCACACAGCTTGAGAGAATGTGAGGATGAGGATGACAGCCAGCCTCACTCCTTGGCACAAAGCAGTCCCAACTGCACACCCTCTTCTACCCCCAGTTCTTCAACAAGCAGTGCCCTGCTGGGCTGGCCCTGAGCCCCCAAGCCCTTAATGGCAACAGCTGGACTTTGCTCCTTTCCTGCCTCCCTTACAGTTCTAACCTGACTTGAGGCTGACACACTGGCCACTGGCTGTGGCTTGGTGCTCAAATTTCGCAAGTCCCTGAGAAAAAGCTAGAACTCAGACCTCACCCAGATCTCCAGAAACTGGATCCCACTGGCCCCCGGTGGGAATCATTGTTTGTCATAAAAGAGGAAGTAATTAAAGCTTGACTGCATGTTCATAGGCAGCATCTTCCTCCATACTCCGTGGGCCTGTAGCATTAGGCAGGTGAGACCCTGGCTGAGCCTTCTAGGCACTGACTCTTGACCTACTGTGTCCAGTCTCTTGAGTCCTAAAATCTTAGTCTTACAACACCTGGTATGAAGGAGGCCTCTGTGATAGCCCGTGAACAGTTGTCATCAGTACAGGGGCCTGTGAATAGAGGGGGTACTGGGGCCAGCCCATTACAGGCTGCTCTCTCTTCTTCACAGGGCCAGTACTTCAGCCCTTGGAAAGACATTTAAAGGGGTAAGAGCAATGTAGCTCAAGGCTCTGGGCTCGAGCAGCAAGAGCACTGTAGGAGGTGAAGAGTGGAGCCAGAGGAGGCCAGCCTGGCGAAGCTAGACTACTGCCACTATCCTGATCGTCCCCACCCTTGGGCTCCCCTACCTGCCCAGCTGTCTCCTCTGTCCTGGGCCCTCCCTGTTGGCCACTGTCTTTCCCACAGTGTGCCCTCTCTGTCCATCTTGAATAAGAGGTTCATTTATGCATATTAAAGTGTTGCTTCCAGCATCCGTGGTTCAGGAGAGTTCCTTCCACCCCCACCCTGAGGGCTCATGCCCAGCACCTAGTCTGAAGGGAGACTCACTTCTGCTTGAGCCAGCCGCTATTGGTGTCACCTCGGAGAGTCATGTGACTGGGGCCTAGGACCCACCTCCTGCACTTGAGGATTCAGTGTACCCAGGAGTAGTCCTACCAGTGACCAGAATTGCTGGTGCCTGGGCACTCTTGGATGAGGAACAGCTATCTGGACCCTGTCTGGATCTCCCTCACCCTGCTAGGGACACTATACAGAGAGGATGGTGGATCGGGGCTGTGATTTTGCTTAATTCAATTTAGTGCTGAGCTCTGAAGCCAACATCCTAGAGTTCGGAGTGGGGGATGGTCCAGAAGGCAGGCAGCTCTAGATCCTCTGTTTCCTTCCCTGCCTTGTCTCCAGACCAGTTTCCTGGGTCCTAATCTCTACTTGTGTTTCTCGATGTCCTTGATCTGAACCCTTAGAGGAGTAAGGGGGCTCCTTTGTACCTCCAGGAGCAGCACCCCTTCCCCCCCCCAACTTGACTCCTGTCTGCTTCTTAGCAGGTGAAAGTCCCGGGGAATGCCCATGGCTGTTGCATACAACCTTCTCTATTTAGATGTCCCCGGGTTGGGGACTGACCAGAAACTAGATAAATAACACACCCCAAAGCAACCCCACAAACCTTCCGAGGCCTCCCTGAGACACAGTACCCTGCTCTCTGGGTCCCCAGAAGGCCAGGAGCTAGAGGCATCTATTATTTAGAGGGCAAGGCATAGGCTCTGCACAGTACTTGGTACCACAGAGGACATCTTTTCTGTCTCAAAGCCTTTGCCAAATGAGAAGTGGAAGAAACCCTTCCGGAGCCAGGTGACTTGGATGCCCAGTGACGTGACTGACAGTTCTGGTTTCTCTTCCTGGACGCATCACACGCTCCTTTGGCATACCCTCACACCTTAGCAGCAGTAAGCAGGTCAGCCTCAGATCTCCACCGGAGGGCAGGGACTCTGGAGAGGCAGCCCTACTCACCCAGCCTCTGGGCACCCCTGCTTGACACTGCACACCCTGACAGTTAATCCTCAGTTACTGGATTTGCTCTGGAAACCTGGAAATCACCTTGAAATTTCCCTCTTTTGTTCTCATTGCCAAGGGCAGAGAGGGGGTAGAGAGGCCTGAGAGGCTAAACAGGGGAGTTTCCATTCTTGAAGCTGCCTTTACCTGGCTTTAAGAGAAAGGATCAAACTGTCCATCAATGTAAAACATCTGGAATCCTCCCTGGCTCCTAAAGCATACTTATCCCTGAGAGAGATACATCCAGGGACAAGAGGTGTTGGTGACAACTCAGTCCCTCCCAGAAGCCTGGCTGTAACTTGAGCAGCAGTATGCAATGTGAGGTCACTCAAGGGTGGACACTCTCCCCTGGGTCATGTAATTGCCCTGCTCTGGGACTCACTGAGAGCTGACCAGGTCTAAAACTTGGGATAATAGAAACCGAGCCTCTTCAAGGCCAAGAATTCTGGAACGAAGCTGGCCAGCTCACCGTTTGTCCTTCAGGTTTTTGACCCTAAGCCCTGGGGAAAAGGCAAGGGATATCCTGACAAAAGCCACTGGAAGAGGTATCCTGGGCCTCCTGGGGCCTCGATGACTGATGTTTTCCTGCTTCCTTTTGGTGATGCTGGAAGGGAGGGGCTGGGAAGGGAAAGGCTTCCCAGGTGGACAGCTTTGATAATTGTCCTTTTAGAGGAAGTCCTTTTCCTATGACCCAGTTCCCTGGGTCCCAGTGGTCAGAGAGCTCCTTGAAAGATGGCCGACCCTAATCTTTTCACTCAGCCACCAGTGGGGAGACAACTGCTGGATACCTTGGAAATGGTCCAGGTCTGAGCGGGCCTTGAATAGAGCTCCCAGGGTACACTCCCGTTCATTCTCCATCTTGCCACTTACCTCAGGAAGGGTAGTTGCTAAGAAGCACCATACTATTCATGCCCAGTATTGGGGTTCTGTAAGAGTCCGCTCTAGTGGGCCTGGAGGCACTTAGCATCTCTTCTTGTGTTTCCTTTATCTGGCCACAAGCACTTAAACTGTAGCTAAGGGGCAAGGTAGGGGAGTCCTTGTTCTGTCAGGCTTGAATAAGGATTAGTTGTGATGTCTTCCATAGCCTATACTAGGCAGCCCTAGAGGATATATATGCAACTTTTTTTTTCTGTGTTACTATTTTTTTTTCTTGATGGATGATCCAGGATCCTTATTTTTCTGCCTGCCATCCTTTTATTAAAAAGCATGAATCACAAGTAGTTATGAGAGGAAACTTTATCTGCTGCCCACCCACTAGTGGAGAAGACCTGTGGCAGTAAAGGGGCAGAGGTAGAGCGTGGGGTTGGAACCCTATCGTTGGGGAGCCTTGTGCCCAGAGGCTTACTGGCTCTGTTACTGGAATGGTCTCATTCCTCCATCCCTGGCTTAGAAGCCCCTGGCGCCTGCCATGAAGGTACAGAATACTGTTCCTGCCAGTGAAACTAAAACCTTCTGAAACTTTCCACTGGGGCCACCTTGGAGGTAGAGCCAGGGAGCTCAGATCACGACCAAGCAGCCGGCATTTCTGGGGGCAAGACTTACAGGTGAGAAGGAAGAACAGCAGGAAGTGGAGGTCAGCATTGTTGTGCTTGGTGACTGTTAGAAAGGTAGAACTGGGAACCAGAACACAACCGTTTTTTACTTTTTTAATTTTTTTTTTATTTTTGAGACAGTCTCACTAGTGCCCAGGATGGATGTGAACTCCTGGGCTCACAGTTTTCCCACCTCTGCCTTCCTAAGCAGGTGGGACCATAGACTGATTCCATCACTCCAGGATCTCATTCAAAAACTTCACCTTGCTGTTTGTGGCTCTGGCCAGCGAGGGAGAAGGGGCCCTTCTGTGTCCCAGTAAAGACCCAATTGTTACTGAAACCAAACTGGGCAGCCTCTCTCGGTTACCCCCATTGCTCTTCTGGTCTCCACTTTTCCCAGAACAAAAGCTGCTATTGGACTGACTTATACTCCAGATCTGCTTATGGGGTCTGAAGTGTTGTTTCCCCCTCCAGGACTGCCCCCTGGGGCTCAAAGTTATCTTAGAAACCTCCAGGCCTCCTTCCCTTCATCCCTGTCCTTTGATTCTGGCTAGGGGTGGTCTCCAGGTACCGCTGGGGCAGTTTCCCCGAGGTTCCTCAGTTCACCAGCCTACTGGAGAGGACCAGCTGGCTGGAAGGACTTCCCAGCACCGCCCAGGAGGCCAAAGCTACAAGTTACTTCTAGGAGCGCCTGTGGGCGGAGGCTGGCAGTTCTGAAAGTGGCGGAGCTTCTCGGCGTAGCTCCCTCGAGCCCCTTTCATCTGAACAGTGGGGCTCGTGCCTCTTGGTAATCAGCCTTCCAAGCCGCACCAGGAGTCATTTCCTGGGGGTAGGCTCTTCTGGAGCCTGGAAACTAGGAGACTTGGGCTCTCCTCTGCCAGTGAGCGGCTCTTTCCAGTCCAAGGATTAGGGACAAAAAGGAGGACGATTTTGGAGCCAAAAGACTGATAACAGTGGTTAGCCCCTGAGAGAACCTTCAGTTTCTTCTCTTGCTGCGCCACCCCCTTCGGAAACAAGTCCCAAAATGGTTTGCCAGCTTTCGTTCCTGTAACTGGAGCGTGGGGGAGCCCCTCAACCCTTCCAGAGAGCCCAGCCTGCCTCAGGGCTGGAAGACACACTTCGGGAACGCCAGGTGAGTGCAGTTCCCGGTGGCAACGCCTGGAGTCCCTCCCCGCTTTCCGATCCCCCTCCTCCCGGCGGCGTGGCGTAGACCTTGACTTCCGAGCTGCGAGAGTCGCAAAGGGTCCCCTAGCCTCAAGGGCCAGCAAGGCACCGGGTCGCAGCCCCCTCCTGGGCGGGCCTTCGCGTCCCGCCCCCGGCCACCCTCATCTCCTGACGTCAGGGGGTTGGGGGCGGAGAGCAGCGGCTGCAGCGGAGAAAGAACCGGCGCCCGGCGCGGTGGAGCGCCGAACCCGAGCTCAGGGGCGCCGAGAGCCGTGCGGGGACCGAGGGGCGGTGGCGCGGGACAGCCTTAGCGTGCTGGCGGGCGAGCGCAGTCTGGAGCGGCTCGGGGTCAGGGGAGGACGGTGGCCGGAGCCAAACGCGAGGGCGGCGCCCAGGGATTGGAGCTGCACGGAAGAGGTGAGTGAGGCCGGAGCGGTGGGGCTCCCGGGCCGCCGCTTTGTCCCCTTGCTTGGGTAGGGGCTGGCGCGCGCGCTAGGGGACAGTGTCTGGGGGTGCAGGGCGGGGCGACAGCGCAGACAGCTGTCCGATCTGGGTTCCTGTCGAGTCCGCTGCGGGCTGCCCAGCAGACGATCGCCATCAAGGCAAGCAGTGCCTGCAGCTCCATTGGCCGGAGCGGCGGGAGCCTGAGGGGGCGGACGGAGCTAGGGGCAGTGGGAGACCCTTGGGTTGTCCAGCGCGCGGTCCGAATCTTTGCCAGGCTTGTGAACTGCTCCGGTTCCCCCCACCTCGACGGAAAGTTAGGGGCGGGCTTGGACCGTAGCCGATGTTGTGGGATCGGATTTCCCTAGAGCGGCCCCCCGCCCTCCAGTTTTGCTCCGGAGGCGGGCTGGCACTGAGAACCAGCCCCCTTGCCAGAGCTCGGCCGCCCGGTCCCGCTCTGGAGCGCCGCGATCCACCACCCGGTGTGCAAGTGTGGGGCGCAAATCCTGGTCCAGCACCCCTCCATCCCCCCGGCTGTCCGTGTCCCTTGACTTGGGAAGAGCTGGGGGTTGTGTCACCACTACGCAAGCAGATTCTCGAAGCGCGCCACCGGGTTTTGACCCCAGCCTAGGGTAATGGGTAGAGAGGCAACCGAGGGTGTGTCGGGGGGACTGCCCCGGGGAAGGCAGCCCCAGCCCCCCGCCCTTCCCGCGCTGAGGTTCTGGGCCAACAGGGGGCGTCCGCAAGCTCGGCTTTGCCACGCTCCCAGCGCTGCCGCTTTGTTTGCATTCAAATCCCCGGAGCTGGGGGGAGGGGAGATCCCACAGTAGGGAGAACCGGACCGGGTCTTGGCTAGGAACCTTTGTTTTGGGGTGCAGTCCTCAGATTCAACATCTCTGTTCCCGGCCTCTAGCGTCTGGATTAGTGGAAATCAGTCCCGTTGGCCTAGTGCCTAGTGCCTAGTGCAGGGTCCCCGGGGTGCAATCCCGGAGTTCGTCAGAGCCAGGGAAGGGAGGGGGGAGGACGCAGCCCTTGACGACCATTCCTGGGCATCCCCTGTTGTCCAGGAGAACTCCGCTTCGGCCTCCCCAATCCATTTCACTTCCCTCCACGATCCCGCTCCCGCCGTGGCGGGGAGATCCCCAGAAGCCTGGAGCCGACTCATGGCCCGGCCGCCTCTCTGCGGGAGGGTCAGTGTCTGGTAGAAGGCTGTTGGAGAAACAGGACTGGCCCTGGTCATTTCCACGCCCATCCCACCCACTTCCTGCCTCCCTCTTGGGCAACAAAGGGGCCTCGGGAAGCTGGGCCCTTTTGGTTCTCGGCCCCACTCCTACTCCAGCCCTGCTGATGTGGAACCCGGTTTGGGCTCTGCCCGGCTATTGTCTGCGCTGGGGGAGGGGACAGGCTGGGGCCGGGAACTCTGCACGCTGCCTCCTTCACCAAGTCCCCCACTGGAGGTCTTTGCCCAACCGGCTGCCTGCGTCTGCTGAATAAGGGGTATATCTCCCCGAATTAGGTCTTGGGGCTGGCCCGAGTCCCACTGGTAGCCAGCACTGTATTTTTACGGTTATTGTAAGAAACTCTGAAACCTTTAAGGCCTGAAGGAGCAAAGGAGGAGGGAGTCCCGCATTTATCTTTTTCTACACAACTCCCTGTTGAAGAGGGAGTAGGGATGGTCTGGAGGCCACAGGCGGCTTTTTGATGACTGCCTACGCCTACTGCTTGCTGACTAAGTTCCTTTCCTTGCTCTTCTGGGAGACCCCCGGGGCTCTTGGGGGGCAGAGGCCAGTTGCAGGAGCTAGATCTGCTCCAAAAAAGGGAGTAGGGGGAGATCCAAGGGTTCCAGGGGAGGTTTGTTCCAGTGTGCGCCCTGTGCTGTCTGTCTCTTGGTGCGGGCTCCCTTCCGGTCTGTGATGCTGACCAGTTTCTTTTCCTTCAGCAGGGCTGCTGGACTGAAGTTTAGACCCTGGGTGTCTGCCATGGCCCCACACTGGGCTGTCTGGCTGCTGGCAGCAGGGCTGTGGGGCCTGGGCATGGGGGCTGAGATGTGGTGGAACCTTGTGCCCCGGAAGACAGTATCTTCTGGGGGTGAGTGCCTAAAGCATGGGAGACAGGGCCAAGGGGAGGCTGGGACAGACTGCTGGAGGAAGGGACGTGTGTGTGTGTGTGTGTGTGTGTGTGTGTGTGTGGGGAGGGGGGAGTGATGCTTGCTTGAAGGAAGGAGCAGCTGCTGAGGAATTACCCCCAAGCATGTACCTTTATACTGATAAGTGTGGCTGTGGCTTTCTAAGAAACTCCAGTGGCCCCAGGGACCCAGAACTGGTAGTGCGGGTCTAGAATCTGGGCTTTGCCCCCTTCTGACACTGGGATAACTTTGTGGGATCTCTTACCACCCCACCCCCACCTTCAACCAGACCCGGCTGTCCTGGTGTGCCAGGGAGGTAGTTTCTGAATCACCCTCCCTGTTCCTCACTTGAATTGTCACTCATGCTTGGAAGCCTAGAGAGAGAAACCTGAACCCCAGGGCAAGTGTAAACCTAACCCCATCTCCAGTCTTTCTAGCTGTCTGTCCCTAGAAGCCCCTTTAATTCACTCTAATGGTCTCCCCTGCTGCTCTAACACCGAAGCCTTCTGATGGCTCTGGGTGGGCGTATTTAAGCACTTGTGCTTCATGGAGGAGGAGACAGAGCGGACCAGATAGCTCTCCTTTGCTCGCGTGTGCGCACACAAATGCACGCGCGCACATACACACACACCTGTATGAAGAGGTGGTGATGTCAGGTGTTTTTATCATCTCTGTGCTCTTGGGATGTGGGATGAGCTCACCTCCGCTGCACTCAGCTGCTATTAAAGCCCCTCCCATGCGGACCCAGCTCTCGCTGGTCACTGCCTCCCAAGCCTGAAGCTGGCTTAAGTGTGGATGTTGTGGACAGGTGTGCAGGTACGTGGGCCTCTGACAGGTTACTGACTGTGTGTGTGATCATGTCCTCCATGTGCTGGATGGCAGCACAGCTTCCCCGAGTCGCTGGCTCCTTTCACCTCCCAGTCCTAACCTCTTCCTCCTTCTCCACACGCCACCTTGTCAGTCCCCTGCCCATCTGTGCGGGCGTCTCTGGAAGCCTGGATTGGCGCCTGCTGGAGTGAATGGCTTCTTAGACAAGGAGTGCTCACAACTGGGCTGTGCCTCCTGCTGCACTAGATCCGCCACCAGGGTCTGGCTGGACCCTACCGTGGTCAGCAAGTAACAGAGCAGGAAATGGCATCTGAGGAAGCTGGGATGGGAGGGGGGAAGTGTCCAGCTCTGTGCCTGAGGTACCGCTGACCCTGAGTGAGAGTCATCAGTCAGATGGCTTCCTCTGGCCGGAAGCTTTGGCTGAGATATCCTTCCTTCCCCATTACCAGCCCAGATTGCCTCCTCCCAGGCTGAAGAAGGGCTTTGGAAGCCTGGGTAGGATGGAGCTGTTGCGCCAAAGGCTATTCAGAAAAAGTCCTTTATGGCCCGTGGGGGTTTGGCTGTCGTCTGTGTGTGTGTGATGATGAGGCCCCAGGGATCCTTGGACAAAGGGAGATTGATGGACTCCTGGAACCCCAGGGAGGATGCCATCCACCCCTGCTCATCCCACCATGTTCTAATCCCTGTTTCTGCAGAGCTGGTCACAGTAGTGAGGCGGTTCTCCCAGACAGGCATCCAGGACTTCCTGACCCTGACCCTGACAGAACATTCTGGCCTTTTATATGTGGGGGCCCGAGAGGCGCTGTTTGCCTTCAGCGTAGAGGCTCTGGAGCTGCAAGGAGTGGTGAGAGGTGGGGCAGTGGGAGGCACACAGAGGGGAGAGGGAAAGGACTCAGGGGGTGTGGCCTGTGCAGGCTGTCCCTCAGCCCAGAGGTCTCCTGCTTTCTGTCAGTCAGGGTGGTTTGGGGCTTCTTCTATCAGAATGTGGACCAGGTTGGTTTCTGTCAGTTGGGGTGGTTTGGGGCTTCTATCAGAATGTGGACCAGGTTGGTTTCTGTCAGTTGGGGTGGTTTGGGGCTTCTATCAGAATGGGGACCAAGTATCACCCATGGTGTAGCTCGAGGGGTGTTTGTGGCACACATTTAGCATGTACCTGTGACTTTGCTGATATTACCTTGTCCATCCTCAGATCTCCTGGGAGGCTCCAGCTGAGAAGAAAATCGAGTGTACCCAGAAAGGGAAAAGCAACCAGGTGGGTGCTTACAGCACCTCCCCTACCAGGCCTTCATGGGATGCTGGCCCTCCTCTTTAGTCTGGATCCTGGTAACCGCCTATCTCCAGCTCTCAGGTCTCACTAACCTGTATTCCTTTCTCTCCGAAGACCGAATGCTTCAACTTCATCCGCTTCCTCCAGCCGTACAATGCGTCCCATCTGTACGCCTGTGGTACCTATGCTTTCCAGCCCAAGTGCACCTACATCGTGAGTGTGCCCCTCTCTCTGCATGTGCCCTTTTCCCACCTGTCCCTAACCCCTGTGACCTCCTTCCCTGGCCTCTTGGGCCATGGCATTTTCAGCCTGTATGGGGCCCCATATTAACACCAGCCTTCCATGTCTTCCTGCCCCCAGAACATGCTCACGTTTACCTTGGACCGTGCAGAATTTGAGGACGGGAAGGGCAAATGCCCATATGACCCAGCTAAGGGCCACACCGGACTCCTTGTGGGTGAGTGTTTGCCGCCAGCACAGATGGAGCAAATCTGGGACTCTGTCAGTCACACTCTGGATACTTGTCTTCAGAGTTCATCTCTACCTAAGTTTCCTAGCTTCTTTGACCGGCTGTTGTCTCCCATAGACGGTGAGCTGTATTCGGCCACACTCAACAACTTCCTGGGCACAGAGCCGGTTATCCTTCGCTACATGGGGCCCCACCACTCCATCAAGACAGAGTACCTGGCTTTTTGGCTGAATGGTGAGTCATGGAGTGGGATTGGGAAAGCCATGAGTTTGGAAGGGTCTTCAAGGGCCCTGGGACTCTGCCACTGACCCTCCTTGCTTTGTCCCAGAACCCCACTTTGTAGGCTCCGCCTTTGTCCCTGAGAGTGTGGGGAGCTTCACAGGAGACGATGACAAGATCTACTTCTTCTTCAGTGAGCGGGCAGTGGAGTATGACTGCTATTCCGAGCAGGTGGTGGCTCGTGTGGCGCGCGTCTGTAAGGTACCAAGTTCCGCAGTGGTGGGCAGTGGGAGCCCTGAAGGCCTGGCAGGGGCTGACCAGCCGTGTCTCCTTGCCATCTGCCAGGGCGACATGGGGGGAGCACGGACCCTGCAGAAGAAGTGGACCACGTTCTTGAAGGCTCGGTTGGTGTGTTCAGCCCCGGACTGGAAGGTCTACTTCAACCAGCTGCGGGCGGTGCACACCCTGCTGGGCGCCTCTTGGCACAACACCACCTTCTTCGGGGTTTTTCAAGCGCGATGGTAAGCGGCTGTGGGGTGGTTGGGGGTGGGGAGGAGCAGGTGGTCAGGTCAGGTAGGGATGGTGTGTGGGTGTGAGGGCCCACACACAGGTGTCTGGAGGAAGTCCAGTGGGTCAGTGCCTAGCAGCCAAGATGACTTTGCACCTGCTCTTTTTAAAACTGGGGGAAGGTGAGCAGAACGCTGCCTCGGGTGATACCTCAGAACTACCTCATGGTCATGACTGCTCCACCAAACCGTGTCCTTTCTACAGTGGGAGCAAATAGGCACCCGACCTGACTTCCAAGGTCTTTCCTTAACAGGGGTGATATGGACCTGTCAGCAGTCTGTGAGTACCAGTTGGAACAGATCCAGCAGGTGTTTGAGGGTCCCTACAAGGAGTACAGTGAGCAAGCCCAGAAGTGGGCCCGTTATACTGACCCAGTACCCAGCCCTCGGCCCGGTTCGGTGAGTTGTCCAGCATGGGGATGTGCTCCCGACATCAGCTCCAGGACCCGCTCGTTCACCAGCTGACTGACAGCCGTCCTCCCCACACCCCTCCCCGACACAGTGTATCAACAACTGGCACCGAGACAATGGCTACACCAGTTCTCTGGAGCTGCCCGACAACACCCTCAACTTCATCAAGAAGCACCCACTGATGGAGGACCCAGTGAAGCCTCGCTTGGGCCGCCCCCTGCTTGTGAAGAAGAACACTAACTTCACACACGTGGTGGCCGACAGGGTCCCAGGGCTTGATGGCGCCACCTATACAGTGCTGTTCATTGGTACAGGTAGGCGCTTCAGGTGTGCCCAAGGCTGGGAACCTGGGGAGGCTCCATGGCCCGATCCCTCATTTACATATCCTCACCCTGTCTCCAGGAGATGGTTGGCTGCTGAAAGCTGTGAGCCTGGGGCCCTGGATCCACATGATAGAGGAGTTGCAGGTGTTTGACCAGGAGCCAGTGGAAAGTCTGGTGCTGTCTCAGAGCAAGGTAGTAAGACGGGCCACACTAACTCCCTCAACGCTCTCTGGAGCACTGTCTGTCTCGCATCCAGTCTCTCTGCCTTCCATAGTTGGTGTCATGTGATTGGCTAGCTCAGAACCCCCTCACTTAGCTCTCACGAGTTCCCGGAAGTAAGAGACCTAAGGTGCCGGAACCTGTCCTCTGAAGGTCCTCATATAGAGCCAGTCCCTGTGGGGCCCCCATTCTCAGAGACTAGCCTTGGCAAATTCCCTCCTGTTTTCTTCAGGACCTTCCAAGTGGGGCTGGGTTTCTATCTGCCGTCCCTTCTCAGATGTTTTGGTACCCAAGCAACAGGGACATCCGTTTTTCTTTAGTCCCCAGTGAGTGTCTGAGCCAGGCCCTCTGTCTCCTGGCTCATTTACTTAAACTGTTCATTTTTTTTTTTTAACCTTTATGCAAAACCGACATATTCACAGAACTCTTTGGATTCTGATTTGCTTGCCCTTTGCCAGCTACTGTGACGCAAAATTGCTCCCAGAATGCTGAATAATAAGATAACAGCAAAGGAATTGTGGGACTGAACATACATAGATTGGCAGTCACCATTCAGACAGAGGGAACCCACCTTACATAGACACTGCTGTTACTGTGCTGGCTTCTGGGGCTGGGGGAAACTGAGTTTTCCGGACTGTGTGTGAGCGAGTGTGTGTACACCTCAGCCTCACGTGTCTGCCGTCCGTCCCTGTCTAATAAGGTCGTCTGTAAAGTGATTAGGATTTCGCTAGCTTGTTCTAAGCCCTCACCAGATTTGTTCTGCTGGCCTGGATTTTTCTTCTGCCTTCTCTTCCTTGGGGGAACCTGGTGTGTTTATGCTTTCTGAACAAGTCTCAGCCATTCCCCCACCCCACCCCCACCCCCCGGGAGTGGCATGGCTTACCCTCTGCCTTTTGTTTTCTGCAGAAGGTGCTCTTCGCTGGTTCCCGCTCTCAACTGGTTCAGCTGTCGCTGGCGGACTGCACAAAGTATCGCTTCTGTGTAGACTGTGTCCTTGCCAGGGACCCCTACTGTGCCTGGAATGTCAACACCAGCCGCTGTGTGGCCACCACCAGTGGTCACTCAGGGTGAGTCAGTAGTCTGTGAGTGCCAGGGCCAGGAGGGGAGGCAAAGGTGGTTGGAATTGGGCCACTGATGTCACCTCCCTTCCCTACCAGGTCCCTTCTGGTCCAACATGTGGCGAACTTGGACACTTCAAAGATGTGTCACCAATATGGCATTAAAAAAGGTGAGCTGTTTTTCTCTTGTTCCCTCATTTTGGGGATGGACCCCTGGATCACAGCCAGACTTAGTGTATCTCCTCTCACAGTGGGGCTGGGGTTCCTGTGTTAACACTTCGTTCTCTCTCCTTTCTGCCTCTGCAGCCAGACTTGTTCCCAAAAACATCACTGTTGTGTCAGGCACAGACCTGGTCCTACCCTGCCACCTCTCATCCAATTTGGCTCATGCCCACTGGACCTTCAAAGGCCGGGACCTGCCTGCAGAACAACCTGGCTCCTTCCTTTATGACACGGGACTCCAGGCGCTGGTGGTGATGGCCGCCCAGTCCCGCCACTCTGGGACCTATCATTGCTATTCAGAGGAGCAGGGGACAAGACTCGCTGCAGAAAGCTACCTAGTTGCTGTTGTGGCCGGCTCGTCGGTGACCCTGGAGGCGCGGGCTCCCTTGGAAAACCTGGGGCTCGTGTGGCTTGCTGTGGTGGCCCTGGGGGCTGTTTGCCTGGTGCTGCTGCTGTTGGTCCTCTCACTCCGCCGGCGGCTTCGAGAAGAGCTAGAGAAGGGTGCCAAGGCAGCTGAGAGGACACTGGTGTACCCCCTGGAACTGCCCAAGGAGCCAGCCAGTCCCCCCTTCCGTCCTGGCCCGGAAACCGATGAGAAACTTTGGGATCCTGTCGGGTACTACTATTCCGATGGCTCTCTCAAGATTGTGCCTGGTCACGCCCGGTGCCAGCCTGGGGGTGGGCCCCCTTCCCCACCTTCTGGCATACCTGGCCAGCCCCTGCCTTCTCCAACTCGGCTCCACCTGGGAGGTGGTCGGAACTCAAATGCCAATGGTTATGTGCGCTTACAGTTGGGTGGAGAGGACCGAGGAGGATCTGGTCATCCGCTGCCTGAGCTCGCTGATGAATTACGACGGAAACTACAGCAGCGCCAGCCACTGCCCGACTCCAACCCAGAGGAGTCGTCAGTATGAGGGGACCCCCCCACCTCATTGGCGGGGGGGTCTCACAGGAGGTGCACTCTTAACTTTTGCACAGGCACCAGCTACCTCAGGGACATGGCAGGGGCATTTGCTCTGCCTGGGACAGACACTGCCCAGCATCTGCCCAGCCATGAGGACCTGCTCAGCATGGGCACTGCCACTTGGTGTGGCTCACCAGGGCATCAGCCTCACAGGAGACACACCCTCCTCTGTGAATTTCAGACATGCGGGACCCCAGCAGCCAAATCTTTACGAGGAAGAGGCTTCAAGATGTGGGTGTATTTGTGCATATATGTGTTGGTGTGTATTTGATGGTGTGTGTGTGTGTGTGTATGTGTGTGTGTGTGAGAGAGAGAGAGAGAGAGAGAGAACCTTTCTGTCTCTGTCAAGTCTTCCCTTGGCCTGGGGTCCTCCTGGTTGAGTCTTTGGAGCTATGAAGGGGAAGGGGGTCACAGCACTTTGCTCCTCCTCCTACCCCCAGCTGTCCCAAGCATGGGACGGTGATGTACATATGGGGGATGGGATGGACAGGGTGTTGTACCCCTTTTGGGGGAGTGCGGGACTCGGGGGTGGGCCTAGCCCTGCTCCCAGGGCTGTGAATGTTTTCAGGGCGGGGGTTGGGGGTGGAGATGGACCCTCCTGCTTCAGGGGGAAGGGTGGGCAGGGCCTCCCACCTGCCCTCGGGTTTGGGGGTATTTTATATTTGTGCTCTTCTGACAGGGCTGGGAAGGGTTGTTGGGGGGAGGGAAGGGAGAAGGTGGCCTGTGGATACTGGCCTATCCTCGCCCAGCTCTGGGAAAAGGGCTAACAGTGTAACTTATTGTGTCCCCACATATTTATTTGTTGTAAATATTTGAGTATTTTTATATTGACAAATAAAATGGAGAAAATGAAACTTAACCCTGCCACACAGATATTTTGACTCAAAGCCACTTACTGACCTAAGAGGGAATCATCCTTTGGCCTGGGTCATCATGGTCTAAATGCCTGTCCGTGCCCCATCTCTGCAGGGGCCAGCTGAGACGAGAGTGTTTTCCCACAGTGGTGCTTATGGCACTGGGAATCAGACCAGGGCTACATCCCTTTGGGAGCTGGACTTGGCCTGGTGCCTCAGAGAAACAAGGCAGCATTCGGGGAAGAGGAGGAGAAGGGGCTTGTCTTCCCAGAACTCTAGGGAGGGTGAGCAGGGAGTGAGGGGATGAAGGAGAGCCCTCCTAGAAGCTTCTCAAGGTGGTGTGGACAGTGTTTTTATAAAGATGGAGGACAAGCTCAGTGGAGGGGGGTGGGGGGCAGTACTTGTAACTTTTTACTCTAAGAATGCTACTCTCAAAAGACTTATCTATGTAGGGATAGTCCCCTACTGCCACCCAGTCAGTTTCAAGCCCTTGTCTTAGTGAGGGAGTGGTGTAGGCCCAGATGTTCCTGGGAAAAACAACAGGCCCAGCCTGGATTCATTTTTGAGTGCCCTTGATGAGAGTTGCCTGGCAATCGAATTTCAAAAAGAAAAATAAGGAGAAGGGGGGAAAAAGACGTTTTAAGGTTTTGTGTTGTGTTAACCTCTATGCTGTTGTTGGCTGCAATTTGGACACACCTGGTTTAGATCAATCTAACCGGTGCATAGGAACAGAGACCACGACAGTGAGCACGTCCCCCTCCCCCTCGGCTGCTCCTATCCCACCCTCATACACTTGGATGCCCCTTGAGCAGGCTGCTGTCTCGGTTTCCCTGAGTGTAGGTCAGAAGACTGGAAAATACTTGAGTGTGTTCCCAATTAGCTCAGTTGTCAGCCCAGTGGGTGTTGGCAACCAGCGCCCACTGAGAGGGCGGAGGGTTAAGCACAGGGGTGGCCCGCTCGGTCTTTGCCCTCAGGCCACTTGCTTCCCACTGGATTGCTAAAGAACGAGGGTCCTAGTGTTAGTAGCTTTCTAGCGGTCACTGCTCTGTCCATGGATGGCCTACGGCTCAGGTGATGCTCGGAAGATGAGACGAGGGGCTCTGGGCCGCATTCAGAGTCCTTGTGCCCTGGAGGGCCCGCGAGGCCTCGATTCTGGCGAGTGCGACATAAACACTACCAGACAGGCCAAGCTGCTTGGTCCCCACACCCTACAAGGCGCGGCTGCATGAACCGTCCCGCCTCCTCCCGGGGTGCGCAGCGGATCCCCGCGCCTTCGCTCCTCCTTGTGCTTAGTTAGCCTCGGGCGCCCTCCGGTGGTAGCAAAGCAGCAAGGCTCAGTTTAGCCAGTCATACCTCGCCACTCTCATTGGTTGCTAAGCTAAGGTCTAAATGCAGGATTGGTTGACCTGTGCGGGGAGGCGGGACTCGAAGGTCAACTACGGACGTCGAGTGGTCAGCCTGGAACGAAGGGGTGGGCATTTCGTAGGAGCGCTTGGCTGCAGCCCCGCAGCCGGGATGGCGGCGCCGCGACCGTGCGCGGATGGCTCCTGCTGTTCGCACCCCGGTGCGGTGCCCGGGGTACAGCAGACGCTGGAGGAGATGGACTTCGAGAGGGGTGAGAGGGGTGAGGCGGCCGCGTGGCCGGCGGCGGGCAATCCCCAGCCCCATCTCCGGGAACGTGGACTGAAGGAGGCCTCGAACCGAGTTTGGAGCTTCCGGGCCTGGTGCAGGAAAGCTGGCTTCAAAGCATGGCAGGAAGCCCCTCGGCCACCCCGTCTCGAGTGCGGACGGGTAAATTGAGGCATTGGTTTCTGAACTGGGTCTGGAGACCAACCCAGCTAGGAGACAGCCTGCTCAGGTGACAGAGGAGCTAGGGAAAGAATCTGCAGTTGGTGGTTTGTATCCACCGGGGAGGTGGATCTCGCTGATCTCGCGTATGAGTGTACATATTTTAGCTATGACAGTGATCTCGAAAGAGATGACTGCATCTTTACCTGTGGAGCGCAGGGGTGTAAGTGTTTTGTCCGAGATTATACAGAGAATTTGCTGTTAGCAGTGGTCCCTCTTCTCTGTGCCTGGTTGCCGACTATGTTATCCCTAGGGTCAGGTAGCTTGTGCAGTTACAGCAAGGTTGTCATCAGTGTAGGGTTGATGATACGGAAGTCTGTGCAGCAGTCACACTTGACGGTTACCATAGGAATGATTTCCTAGCCGGTGCCGGTTCCTCTGTACCTCTGCTACTGCCATCTTTGGGCTAGGGACATAATAGGACTCCCCGCTTCCTCTCATGCCCTCTTGGCAGTGTTTTCTCTGCTCTGCCTTTGGAAAATACCGAACGAGATGATTACATTTATGCATTTTTAAATTTAAAGATTATTTATGTGCATTTTCCCCCCATATGTGTGTCCGTATACTACACGTGCCTGGAGCTCATAGAGGCCAGAAAAGGGCACCAGAGTCCCCGGAATTGCTGTTACTGATGGTCATGATCAGGGAGCTGAGAACTAAGCCGGGTCCTCTGCCCAGCAGCTAGAGCTCTTGACGGCTGAGCCATCTCTCCAGCACCTCCTATTGCTTTTAATTCCCCAAGTCAAGCTGTCTGGTGTGTGTGTGTGTTTCTGTACCTGTACCTCATTATGGTCTCACCCTTGAAGCTGTCTCCTTTACGTTTCTAAAATATGCAAGATATCATGTTTTGTTTGCTAGCCAGCTTCAGGCTGACTGAAGCTTTTCCACCAGCATTCAGTTCTATGACATCTATTCAGAGACCCCTTCCTTATGCCTTAGAGAGTCCTCAACCTGGGGACAGTTATGCCCAGTTTAGATCTAGAGACATTTTTTGTGTGTCACAGGTATCCTGAAAAGCACAGGCCGGCTCCCCACAACAGAAGATGGTTTGGCTCAAAATGTCAGCCTTGCCTCTGTTGAGAAAGAAACCTTGTCATATTCAAAGCCCCTCCCTTCCACTCTGGTTACTTTGTTACATTAATGCTTTGCTCTCTTTGTAGCAGTTTGGAATGAGTCAAAGGCTGAGACAGGAAGGTCACAAGTTCAAGGCCAGACAGGACAGCTATATAGTGAGACACTTTGTCTCGAAATAGTTTGTGTTATCACCTGATACAATTTTGTTGGCTTATTCTTTTATTATTTATTTTCCACATGTGATAAAGATACCTATTATGTGGACTTTTTTTTTTCCCTGTAAAGCATGTTTTCTTTTGTTTTTTATTTTTATTTTTTGTGGGGGAGGGGTTCAAGACAGGGTTTCTCTGTGTAGTCCTGGCTGTCCTGGAACTCACTCTGTATACCAAGGTGGCTTCGAACTCAGAAATCCGCCTGCCTCTGCCTCCTAAATGCTGGGATTAAAGGTGTACGCCACCACTGCCCGGCTTTAAGTTTTTAATTCATCTGTTTTGGTGACTTTCATTGTGTCTATATGTGTGTCTATGTTTTGTTTTGTTGGTCCATCCCTCCCTAACCCCAACCACAGGGTCTTACTATATAGCTCTGGCTGTCCTGGAACTCATTTTGTAGACCAGGCTGGCCTCAAACTCACAGAGAGCCATCTGCCTCTGCTTCCCTGGTGCTGGAATTAAAGGTGTGAACCGTCACCGCCTGGCCCTAGCAACTACCATCTCTTTGATTACAGATAGATAGATAGATAGATAGATAGATAGATAGATAGATAGATAGATAGATCACACATGTAAAAACAGTATATTTATATATATAATTATATATAGACATATGTTTAGCATATGTAATTGTGCCTGCATGTATGCATTATGTATATGATGCCAGGTCAGAAGAGGAGATTGGATCCCCTGAAGCTGGAGTTACAGAGAGTTGTGAGCCACCTTATGGGTGCTAGGAATCAAACCCAGGTCCTCTAGAAGAGCAACAGTTCCCGAACCTATCTCTAGCTCTGGCCATTGTTGTTGTTTTGTTTTTTTTGGGACGGAGTCTCACTGTGTAGCTCTGGCTGTCCCTGAACACACAGAGATCTGCTGGCCTCTGTCTCCCAAATGCTGACATTACAGGCGTGTGCCACCATGCCTGCATTATGATTATCTTTATTTCTGTATAATTCTTTCTTTTTTATTATTATTATTATTATTGGTTTTTCGAGACAGGGTTTCTCTGTGTAGCCCTGGCTGTCCTGGAACTCACTCTGTAGACCAGGCTAGCCTCGAACTCTCGAACTCAGAAATCCGCCTGCCTCTGCCTCCCAAGTGCTGGGATTAAAGGCGTGCGCCACCACTGCCGGGCCTGTTATCTGTATAATTCTTATCTCGTCAACCAGTATCTTTCTCATTTGTGGGAGAAGAGCAGACCCTGAAGGAATATGTGTTGCTGACACGAACAGGACATGTTAAGGACCAGAGCCTCAGACTTATGGGGAAATGGCGCGCGCACACACACACACACACACACACCCCAGGGGTCGAAGGTCAGAGGGACTGTAAATCCTTCCTCTGGTCCACGTACAGATGTTGATAGTGTGTAGAAAATTTCCACCATTTCTCCCCCTGAATGTTTTTGACCTGAAGATAGCTCCCCTGCAGAGACCACTCCTATTGGGATTAGCTACCCCACCTTCTTGTTCAGCTGTATATAATAATCCACCTTCTTGTTCAGCTGTATATAATATTCCACCTTCTTGTTCAGCTGTATATAATAACCCACCTCCCTCTTGAGCTGTATTTGCATAACCCTGCCTTCTTGTTCATCTGTATATAACCCCGCATCCTGTTCAGCTGTATGTAACAACCCTTTCTCTTTGATACAATAACCTTGGTTATCTGGTCAGCTGTAGCTAATAACCATGCTGAGCTTCTGGGGTGCTCATTTCCTTCAGAGTTCACCAGTCCCAGCTTCTCTGTGTGTCTTGGCTTCCCTCCTGTCCTAGAAAGGTCGAGCTCCTGAGCCATGCAATGACACAGCACCGGTTCCATTTAGCGTACCTGTCTGTGATTCCTTTCAGAAGTTTGTTGGTCCATGTTCTCTCCCATGTTTCCTTATCTCTTTTGCCTGTCACTTGATGCTGCACTGTGGTTAAATCCTAAGCTACTAGTTAATTCTCTCGCCCACTGGGTTTGTGGCATTGGTCGACCTATTCGTGATCATTTCATTTCAATATTTGTACTCAGTGTGTGATTAGAACATGTGTGGTGTCAGAGCATGAGTTCTGATGTCAGAGGGCACTTGCTAGAGTCAGTTTCTCCCTTCCACTGTGTAGGTGGAATGGACTGAACTTGGTTAGTCAAGCTTGATAGTAGGTACTTTACCAGCTGAGCCACTGTTCCTTGATCAGCTGTTTGTTTTGAGGCAGGGTTTCTTTGTGCAGCCATGGCTGTCCTGGAATTCACCGTGTAGATAAACCAGGCTGGCCTCAAACTCAGAGATCCACCTGCCTCTGCCTCCTGAGTGCTGGAATTCAAGGTGTGCACTGCCACTCTGCCACCAGCACTACCAGCAGCAGCAGCAGGTCGCCTTTCTATGATAGATCCAGATTATAACAGTCTTAGCATGGGATTCTGGCTTGCTTCTTGGGGGGTAATATAGATATCCCCAGTTTTAACTTACAGATGTAAGTTAAATTTCCTTAAACTGAAGTTGAAACATCAGTCAAAAGGTAGAAGAAATACTTTTAAAAAAATAAATAAATAAGGAAAAGAACAATCTCATCGTGCAGCACTGCTCAGTGCTTTCATTGCCTTTCTGCAGGAATCTGGTCGGCTGCCCTGAATGGAGACCTGAGCCGAGTGAAGTATTTCATCCAGAAAGCCACAGACCCTAGCCAGCCGGACTCTGCTGGCTACACTGCACTGGTGAGCTCTGGGAAGAGGCCTTAACTCTGGGCTGCTGCTCTTTCCTCTTTATTTCCAGCAAAGCCCTCCTGTCTCTGTCTGTCTGTCTGTCTGTCTGTGTGAGTTCTGGGTATAGAATATAGAACTTAGGCCATCAGAGTTGGTGGTAAGTACTTTCTTTTTTTTTTTTTTTTTTTTTTTGGTTTTTCGAGACAGGGTTTCTCTGTATAGCCCTGGCTGTCCTGGAACTCACTCTGTAGACCAGGCTGGCCTTGAACTCAGAAATCCGCCTGCCTCTGCCTCCGGAGTCCTGGGATTAAAGGCGTGTGCCACCACTGCCCGGCCCTAAGTACTTTCACCAAATGAGTCATCTCACTCGTTCACGTTTTTTTTGTTGTTGTTTTGTAGTTGTTTCATGTTTGCTTGTTTGTTTGTTTGTAAGGGTTCACTATGTGGCCCAGGCTGTCCTTGAAGTCACTCGAGTTTCTCCCTCCTGAGTACTGAGAATCTGTAATAACATATGCTACCTCGCCCAGCTTTAAAGTTTGTTGTTTTCTCTCTTGAAATAGACTCTCACAAAACCCAGATTAGCCTTGAACTTGCTGGGTATAAAAAGTGCCTGCCTCCTCTCAAGTGTTGGGATTCCAGACACAGGCCTGTGCCACCATGACTGATAAGCACCCCCTACCTACACCGTATCCTTAGCCAGCCTTCCCTTTCAACTTTGGCCACATCCTGAGCAGCTGGGTGTTTTAAGTAGTGGAAGGGCACAGTGTTTCCCACACTGCCCCCTGGCTCTCAGCATCCCAGTGCCTCGCCACCTGCCAGGACTCTGCCATCTGACTTCAGTCTCTGACCCTTGCAGCACTACGCTAGCCGCAACGGGCACTATGCCGTTTGCCAGTTTCTGCTAGAAAGCGGAGCAAAGTGTGACGCCCAGACTCACGGGGGCGCCACGGCTTTGCACCGGGCCAGCTACTGTGGGCATACGGAAATCGCAAGGCTGCTGCTTTCCCATGGGTCCAACCCCCGGCTGGTTGACGATGACGGCATGACCAGTCTACATAAGGTATGTCACTGCCTCCTTCAGACCGTCTTCTCCTTAATCTTAGTCTTTTATTCTTGTACTTTTCTTGTTGCCTTGCCCTGACCAAAAAAAAATAAATAAAACCTGGGACCTCAGCTCGTGAGGTTAAAGGTCTCTAGAAATCCCCTCACACCTGTAGGAGTGTCTCGTAGGTGATTCTTAATCCCACCAAGTTGATAGCCAAGGTGAACCATCCCAGTGGGCGTTGTAGAAAACAGAAAAATGGACACAAGGAAAGGCCGCCTCAATGCTCACCTGACACCTCAGCAGGAAAACGGGTCTCCTGTCATTCTTCTCCACATAGGAAGTACTTCCCTCCCTCAGTGACGAGCTGTGAACCTTCCCTGAGGAATCAGCTTTTGAAGCCAGTACTGCTTTGCCTCTCTCTGCCACCCACTTTTGAGAGTCCGGGTCATAGACAGGGTCATCATTTTGGGGGGCTCAGTATTCTATGCCCTGTCTCCAGCTTCTGCTTTACCAATTGTTCCCTCTCTCTCTGTCCATCCATCCATCCGTCTGTCTGTCTGTGTCTAAGTTCTGGGGTTGCGCTTTCCCATTGAGCTCTATGTCCAGTCCCCATATGCATCTTAGAGATTTGATTTGTGCATTTGCATATAGAGTCCCTCCTTGCCCCAGCTCTGATTTTCTACCCGTGCCTGGCTTTAAAGGAGTTCTCACTGCCAAGCCGCGGTGGCCACACGCCTCTAATCCCAGCCCTCAGGAGGCAGGTCTCTAAGTTTGAGGCCAGCCTGGTCTATACAGAGAAACCCTATCTTGGGGTGAGGAGGAGGGGTCCCATCAAACCCTACCCTCCATGGGGTTCCCCAAGTCCAAGGAGATGGCTATCTTACCAAGTGGGTTCAGCTCCTGCTGGCTTCCTGTTGTGAGTTCCCAACCTTGACTCCTGTTTTCAGACTCTTGTCTTTTTATCCCCTGCACTCACTGTGTGTCACAAACTATCCTTTGAATGGCTGCCTCCCCCACCACTACCCCTGCTCCCCTTTTTTAAGACAAATTCTCCCTCCATCCCTCCCCTTCTCCCCCTCCCAACAGAGTTCTGCCTTGTCTGACTTGCCTTCACAGTGAGCCAACAACAGCTCTGAAATAAAGCCTGTCCTGCCCAAGTTGCATTTGGTCACAATGTTTCATCACAGCAGTAGAAATCTAAGACACCTGTTCATCTTAAGATTGTTTGAGCTCCGTGTCTCACCAGAAGCAGCAGCTGGGACTCCCTTGTGTTTAATGTATAGCCTTAGCACATGCCGTGGGCACTTACTGAACTTGTACTGAGTGGCCAGCTGCCGGTTGGGTTCTATTAGATCCTTGCGAGGTATAGAAGCTCGAGTCTTTTTTAAAGTAATACGTATTTGGCAGCAGGGTTTCTCTGAGTAGTCCTGGCTGTCCTGGAACTCACTCTGTAGACCAGGCTAGTCTCGAACTCTGGAACTCAGAAATCCGCCTGCCTCTGCCTCCCAAGTGCTGGGATTAAAGGCGTGCGCCACCACCGCCCGGCAGCTCGAGTCTTTTTTAAAGAAATACTTACTTGTCAGGATGCGACAGTGACACACGCCTTTAATCCCAGCACTGCAGAGGCAGATGGATCTGAGTTTGAGGCCAGACTGGTCTACAGAGTGAGTTCTAAGACAGCCAGAGCTACACAAAGAATCCCTGTCTCAAAACAAACAAACAAACAAACAAACAAACAGAAAGACATAGACATGAGCAACATAGTGAGACCTTGTCGCAAAAGATTAAAAACGGGGATCCAGTATAGCCCAGTTGGGGTGCTTGCCGTACACACACAAATACCCAAACATGGCTGCTTACACCTGTAATTCCAACACTTGAAAAGCAGAGGCAGGTAGGAAGACTGCCAATTTCAAGGCCAGTCTGGTCCACAGAGAGTTCTAGAATTGCAGAAATCAAACCACAGGGGATGCTGAGTAGCTGCCTAGACAGCCCCAGTGCTTCACAAACCTGTGGATAAGACACGGGACTTTGGTGGCCATTGGAAGTCTGCTTAGACATCCGGGGACATTCTCAGAGCAAGCAAGTTCCAGAAAGGGAAATAAGTTCAGGGCCCAGCTCGGGTTGGCCTTTTGATTAACCTCAAAATCTCTCTCTCTCTCTCTCTCTCTCTCTCTCTCTCTCTCTTTCTTCCCCCTCTCCCCTCCTCCTCCCCCCCCCCAGGCTGCGGAGAAGGGTCACGAGGACATTTGCTCCCTCCTGTTACAACACAGCCCCTCCCTGAAGGCTGTCCGGGATCACAAAGCACGCCTAGCATGTGACCTCCTGCCCTGTAACAGTGGCCTGCGGGACCTGCTGGCCAGCTGAGGCCCCACCTCCTGTCTCTGGCTGCCCTTGAAGGGTACACAGATTAGCTCTCCACACCCCTGCCTTGCTCAGCATCATGCTGCTGGGACCAGGGCCAGAATGCCCAGAAGAGCCCCCGCCTGGCTAGTGTGGCAGCCGGTAGGGAGGCTTGGGGGGGCTGAAGGCTTGTGAACCTGGACAGGTGGTCGTATAAGTGGTCCATGTTAGAGACACATATCCATCTGGAAGAAAATAAAGCTTATATCTTGATGTTATCCACGGACAAAGATGAATTTCAGAATACAGCGTTCTAAAGATAAAAACACAAAACTCTGAAGTATCAGAAGAAAACACTGAGTGTGTAACAAATGCTGTTTTCTGGCTGAATGAGCTTGGTGCAGGGTTCTTTTAAACCCTCAGCACCCCTGTCAGTGAGATGAAAAGGATTGTCTGAGGAAGTCTGCGGACTAAGCAGCAGGGGAGAGCACCCACTGCTCGGCCTGGCCTAGTAGTGCAGGCCTGAAATACCAGCCGCTCATGAGGCTGCAGCCTACCTAGGCTGCAAAGGAGTTCAATGCTAGCCTGGGAAACATCAAGGCTAGCCTGAGCAACAGGTAAAAAGTGGGGACATAGCTCAGTGGTGGAATGTCTGCCTGACATGCAAAAGCCCTGCGTTCCATCCCTAATACAGTGGGGAAAACAGTACCTGGTTCCCAAAGTCTAACAAACGCTGGCCTTTGTTCCTGATGTTCAGTCTGACCTGTATGAAGTGTAACTGTGCCAGGTGTGGCTGCACACACCTTTAATCCCAGTGCCTGAGGCAGGAGTATCTCTCTTTGAGCTCCAGGCCAACCAGAGCTACAGAGAACATGTCTCCAAAACTCTGCTTTCCTGTTTGTCTTGTGTTGATTACTAGTGAGGCTGTACACCTGCCTTTGACCTGCCCATCTCTGCCCATTCAAAATGGTTTTGTTCTTGCTATGTAGCTAAGGCTCCGACTTGGAGCCCTCCTCTGGCCTCAACTTCCTGAGTGTTGAGATTATAGTTTTGCATCACCACGTCCAGCTTGCTATGTTTTTATCAACTCACAAGAACTTTATTTTACGAATATTGATCCTTACTTAGTTCTGGGTGTGTTTGTATATATAGAGAAACATATATAATGTACATATTATCTAATGTATACTTAGTTCTGGGTGTGTTTGTATATATAAACATATATAATGTACATATTATCTAATGTATACTAAAATTTTCTTTCATGCCATGACTTGCTTTAAGTAGGCTGGCTTCTGGTCACGGAAACTGCTACACACACTATAGATGTCAATTTAGCAATACCTATTTAAATGCCGCGCTAATGATTGACTTCTCCGTAGCAACCTAGGCAGATTTGTCCTTGATTACAAAGGTGTCTACTTACAGACTCATTTACAAACTCTGCAAGAGAGCACAAGGCCCTGGCTTCCCCAGCACTGAGGGTGGGAGATGTGTTGAACTATATTGAATATTTAAAAAAAAGAGCATCAGGCATGGCCACTAACGTAATCCCAGCACTCGGGAGCTTAGGCAGAATTACGAGTTACAGGCTAGTCTGAGCAAGAGTGTGAGACTGTGTGTTCACAGAGAGGGGAGGGACAGGGAGAAGGACTGACATACTGAAAGAAAACAAACTGACCTGCTCCCTGGTCGTGGGGTCAAGTGCCACCTATACCAATGTTGGTGGCGGTCTGGGAAGAGTGCCAAGCTACGCCACAGCATGACACACTTCAAATAACAAGAGGCACAAGAGGAAAGGTCAGGAAGATGTGTTTTCCCCCTAGCCACTGAAGCAAGAATAATCACACAGGTCCTTAGATTTATTTTAAAAATAGTTATTACTATTTAATTTAGAGATAATACCAGTTACCTTTGTATGGGACAAACTAGCATTTTCTTAAAAAATTTTTTTTTTGTTGTTGGATACAGAGTGGTCCAAATAAACTAACTTTCTTTCTTTTTTCCCTCCCCCCACCCCCCCCCCGCCCACGGGGAGGGGGGGGGGGGGGGGGGGGCGAGGGGGGGGATTTAAAAAATCTGTGTGTGATTTATTTAAAAAAAAAA